AGATATGTACAACATAGATCTGTTTTGGAGAAATGTGTACAATGGTGCTCTTCTAATCGTTCCTCTTATTCTATTATTGATTATGATATACGTGATATCGATCTTCTCGGGGAATTTCCCGATACCTTCTGACGTTTTTATTGATGTTCATCTCTGTTTTCTTTTCTCTCTACATATTGTAACAACTCACTTTACCCCTATTTATGTCTTTGTTCGTTATATGATTTCTTCTTTTCTTTTCTTTTCTCTTCCTTTCTTGCTCATTTCTTGTTATATTCTTTGTATTATTATTGGTACTGCTAGGGTCTTAGGACCATCAGTTGAAGCAAATAAAAAAAAAAAAAAAAAATAAAGCATTTAAAAGAAAGAATAACTTTGTTTTATCATTAATTACTTTTCTTACCTCTAGTTCAAGAGATTGTCGTGTTGTTGTATTCGATTGTACTTTCTAAAGAATAGAAATTTTGTTCATAAAAGATAAATAATTAATTGAATTTACTCGTTGAAAAAAATGTTTCATTAGTTTGAAAAGCAAAATAAAAATAAAGTAGTAAAATTGCACATGGATTTATATAATCATTCCATGCAAGATTAATTGCAATATATGGTTCACTTCTCGTACAATTATGTGTTACAATAGATATTAAACCCGTAACACTGTTAAAATAAAAACAATAACACATTCATGCATACTAAATCTGAATTAATATATTCATATTCAATTTCTTACTTGCTCCATAATGATAATGGTACAAAAGCTTCTTGAAAAAATGTAAATTGATATATGTAAAGAGTAAATAAATGTATGCCTGTATAAATGACTAATAAAGCACGAATCAATGCAAATCTTTTATCAAATTCAATAGATAATGACCATAGAAAAGTAATCATAAGAAAGAAAATAAAATAAATCGAATTTAATATACTTGGATAGACAAATGCAGCAAAACCGACAATAATAAATTGAATAAACAAACACATAAATCTTACTATTGATAATAATCGTGACCATTTATTAATTTTCTTTAATGTACTATTACTGCTATTCATTGATGATGATCTATTTGTTGTATTCGATGTTATAGAAGTTTGACGTCGTCTTATAGATATTAATGTACATTGGATAACAAAAAAATCGATTATTGATATAGCAAATATGACAATATCAAGAAAAATCAATCGAAAGATTCGAATAGCATTAGAATTATCTAAACTGAAAATAGAATAAAAATAAAATAAAATAAAATAACAATAGTTTATATTTATCTTAGAATATATATACCGTTCTAGACCAAAATATTGAAGAACTTGAGTAATTTTAGTATCTAAGAATAAAGTTAATAAAAAGATAATTTTATTTTCAAATAGTTTTTCTTTTACATACAATTATTAAGCATATGACCATAACGTTTTCTTGCAATAAGAATTGATTGAAAGATTATTTGAGCAATAATAGCAAGAAGACTAATGAGAATAACAACGAGAATCAATAAATGATAACGAGCTAATATATATATATATATATTTATTTTATTTTATTTTTTTTCATTTTTATATATTTGAATATTTTCATATTATTACTTTGAATAGTTCTTCTATTAATTGTACCCAACCATGGAATAACAAGTAGAAGAAAAGCATAGATCAATGAAATAGCAGAGAATCGGAAAATAGTTCCTAAAGATTTTTTTTAAAAATAAAGTAATTAATTAACATTAAAAAAAAATAGAAAAGATTTTTTTTTACCACTGAGCAATGCCAGATGAAGAAGAAAAAGTATAAGGCCATTTAAAATTACATGAGTTATTAATAATAATTTTCTATAGATAAAAAGAAAACAAATCTATTTATAAATAATAATTATAAAATCAATTTTTCTTTCTGCTTCAAACGTTGATACATTCGAATACAAAGAAATACTTCTGTTGAGAGTTCGATAATTTAAACTTAGATTTATTCTTATTACGACATTGAGAGTTGCAAATATTAACGATAATATTCAATATCTCGCAAAAACTTCGGTTACGTCTGCACTAGCTATATAGATGAAAAAATAACAGAATGAATAACTAATGACGTCATCTGATAGTAAAATATTTTCGTTGGCTAGTTTCAGATAGCTTATACATATAGATATATACAGGGTGGTCCAAAAGTCACGCACCCGACAAA